TCATTTTCAGGTCAGCGATGGTCCCAACGGTATTCGTGGAAATCATTTCTTCATGAGCACACCTGCAAAATGCCTTCCGGTATGTGATCCATTCGTTCTTCTTTTCACTCGTTATGAATAATCTATTTCTAGTCTTCTACTGCCCTGGGCGCCACCTGGGATACCCAACTTGTCGAGGAAGTTGGTCTCAAGCTCCTTGCCCCCGAAGCTAAGCTTCGCGCTGTATCCTTGATTTTGGCTCCCACTTGTAACATTCAACGCGTAAGCAACATTCATCGCGCATCTTACGTGTTTATACTCATCCATCCCCATGTCTGCAGAGTCCCCTCGGTGGCCGAGTAAGTCGTATTCGCAAACTACCATTCCTGTAACCAATATCTGGCCACAGAGCTTCGAAAGCTTTTCTGAAGATCCTATTCTCTCTGGATTGATAGCCGCTGCCTATGTTCGAGGTGTTCAGAGTGGAGGTATCGGTACCACCATTAAGCACTTTGTGTATGTGTCGTACTTTCCAGGGAACCACTTCGTCTGACCTCTTCTTCAGTGGTAACGACAAGGAGAATGACCGGATGGCATACGATAGCATAATCAGCCCTCGTGCCCTCCGCGAAATTTATCTCATGCCGTTCATGCTTGCTGAAAAGTACGCCCAGCCATGGGCCATGATGACCGCGTAAGTCAACTTCATTGTATATTACACCATATATTCAACTACGTTCACAGTTATAACCGCGTCAATGGTACCCACGTCTCCGAAAACCCTGCAATAATCCATGATATCCTCCGCAAAGAATGGGGCTACAAGGGAATGGTGTGTATACCTCTATCCTATGTCATCGCATCGCTAACCATGTTTTAATATAGGTCATGAGCGACTGGTTTGGTGTCTACAGCATTGACCACGCCATCAAGGCTGGCCTTGACCTCGAGATGCCTGGTGTTAACAAATGGCGCACTCTCGACCTTGTGAACAGGAGCATCCAGAGTCGCAAGATCACCACCCGCGACGTCCGTGCTCGCGCTCGCAGGGTGCTTGAACTTGTTCAGAAGTGCGCGCAAGGTGCTCCTGAGGTCCGTACCTCTTTAATGACCATCGTATTGATCACTAAATTTTGCGGAACGACAGGTATTGGACAGTGATGGCATCGAGCGCACAGTGGAGAGCGAGGAAGACAAAGTTCTCATGCGCAAGGTTGCATCCGAGTCCATAGTTCTCCTCAAAAACGAGGGAAGCGTTCTCCCTCTCAACTCTCAGAAACTCACGAAAGTCGCCATTGTCGGCGGCAATGCCAAAGCCAATGTACTCTCTGGTGGAGGTTCCGCAGCTCTCAAATGTTCTTACTTCATTTCTCCCTACGAAGGCATTGTGAATGCTCTTGGCCCCAACGTTGAGGTCACCTACTCCGAGGGTGCTCGCAGTACGTCTTGTGTGCCCCAAGGGTTATCTCCGCCCACTGATCATTCTTCGCATATAGCATACATGTCAATGCCAACCCTCGAGGATGAGCTCCTCACTCCCACTGGCGAGCGTGGTTGGATCGGGACATGGCATACTCATGAAAACAACGACAGCATGGTGCCCATTGAGGAGCCGATAGAGACTCGTCTCATCGACGAGACTCGGGTGTTCATTAGCACTTCGGCGCCTCAGGGAATCACTCGCAAGTGGACTTTACGCCTTCGCGGTCAACTCAAGCCCCGTCCCTATGATCGTTCGTTCGAGTTTGGATTGACCGCAGCTGGACGTGCCAAGGTATGATCGTCACCCCATGCGCGAGAAGACACGCTGATCGTTTCTTATGGAATAGCTGTACGTCGATGGAAACCTGGTCATCGATAACTGGACTCGTCAACGCCGTGGTGATGCGTTCTTTGGCAGTGGATCTGAAGAAGAGAAGGGTATCTACCTCCTCAAGGCGAACACATCCCATGAGGTCTTCGTCGACTTCTGCAACGTTCGCGGCCCAGCTGATGGTGATGAAGATGAGGCCGTCATGGACAGGTGAGCTACAAACCTGTCTCTCTCTTACTGCAGATCTATTCACATCTCATGGTAGCAACCCTGGTGTTCGTCTTGGTGGTGCGGAAGTGATCGATCCGGAAGCCTCTATTGCTGAGGCTGTGAAACTTGCAAAGGAGGCCGACGTTGTCATCGCTGTTGTCGGTCTCAACGCTGATTGGGAAACGGAGGGATATGATCGCACTACCCTCGCGCTTCCCGGACGCACGGATGAGCTTATTGAAAAGGTGGCCGCCGCCAACCCCCGCACTGTCGTTGTTACCCAATCTGTGAGTTGTCTTATTGTCTTGATTTTTCCTTGGAATATCGGGACTAATAATCGAGGATAGGGTTCAAGCATTACTTTGCCGTGGCTTGAGAAAGTCCCTGCTTTGGTTCATGCTTGGTACCTCGGTAACGCGACGGGCGAGGCCATTGCGGATGTCCTCTTTGGCAAGCACAACCCATCCGGCAAGCTATCCCTTACCTTCCCCAAGAGGCTCGAGGATGTGCCGTCCCATGGGCACTTCCACCACGAACACGGTGTTGTTCGATATGCCGAAGACCTCTTTGTTGTACGTTTGTCAAATTTTTGCGGTTGAGTACACTTTCAGCTGACTTAACTTTTTCAACAGGGTTACAAGCACTACCAGTACCGCAACATTGAGCCTCTTTTCCCCTTCGGGTAGGTTCTTTTATTGATATCGTCTTTCGAACATGAATTGAACTCCTTTCCTTAGCTTTGGTCTTTCCTACACCACTTTCTCCATCTCCGATCTCCAACTCTCCACCCCCGTCATCTCGAACTCCGAAGTCAGCATTACCGCTTCTGTCACTGTCACCAATACTGGTTCCGTTGCTGGCTCCGAAGTCGTGCAACTCTACGTCGTACCACCAGCGACTTCTGACCTCACACATGCTTCCCTGCAACTCAAGGCCTTCAAGAAGGTTCGCAATCTGCAACCTGGAGCAAGCGAGCGTGTGGAGCTGTCGCTTGACAAGTATGCGGTGTCGTACTGGGAAGAAAGGTTCAGCACCTGGACCGTTGAGAAAGGTGTCTATGGTGTGAAGGTCGGAGCGAGCAGCGATGCATTGAAGTTGGACGCGACATTTGCACTTTCAAAGGGCTTTGAGTGGAACGGGCTCTAAAATGGACTCCAATAGAAATCCACAATTGTAACAGTACCTTCCTTTGACGCCCGTCTATGTATACACTTCTCCTGAAGTCAAACTCGCGATGGTGAAAATAGGAAATTTTTCTATGGTATGAGTAAGAATAAGAGTAACCGACATATGACTTCGGATATATGTACAGTAGTTTGCGAGTATGGAAGGCGAATGGCGGCGCTAAGGTAAGGAAAACGTTAAAACAGAAGTATGACCTCGCACATGCATTAAGGGGGAATCGAACCCCCGGCGGGTCGATACTATGATCTGATGGCAACGACCCAGGTTACCACTACCCCATTAATGCCTACTCTATGTTGTCGGTTTAAGAGATCCTCTGCCTGACAACTACCGCCAAAGGAGACTGGTTCGAAAGATCTCCCCAATTTTATTTGATAAGCTCGACCAGCAGGAGTTGCATATTTAGTAACACCTCTATTTATTAAACTCGAGAAATCCTCCTCACAAAGCAGAGCTGTTGAAGCCAATATCGTTCCAAGCACGAAGGCAATTTCCCCAACGGACAATACCCCATAACATCCTAGAACCCTGTGGTCAGTGAAGAGAATACGCTGATGAACTTCAATTCACCCAAAACCTATCCAAGCCAAGACTGCACAAATACCATAGGTGGACGCCACTCCAATTGAATTGATTAGGGGTAGTGTTCCAGATAGAATGATTGCCAACATCCAGGACCGAAAGCCGCTGGCACAAACCAATGTGTTGAAAGGCTCTAGAGACAATGCACAAGAAACTTACGTGCTAGCAGCGACAGTCTCAGCGCTTCGTGAAGGCATGATGTCGATCAAGTAGGCTGCGGTAGGCCCAAGCACCATCTGAACCTAACCACGGTAAATTCAATGAGGCATTTGAGTGGAAACGGTTTGAATACAATTTCGACATACCCCAGCGCCATTTATGAATAGGCAAATTAGAGTCAGTGTTAATCCCACATTCCCTCCGACATATCGGTTGACGAGTCCGAAAGATAGCACTGACATCGGGACAAGGGTGGCAGCGGAAAACAAGGTTCCCTTTATACGATCTTCTGGGCACCATACACCAGACCTTTGCTTTCGAGATTTTGCCAGGATGATGTCCGAAAGCCGTCCTGCCAAAGGCGCACCAACTAGCAAAGTCGATGAGTTGCGCAAGAGCAATAAGGCCAACACACACCAATATCTCCAAGGCCATTAGGAAGGAAACATGCCCCAAGAATAGCTTCGTTTGAAATGCCGTAACGTTGTCCCTAGAGATTATGAGAATGACTCGTCACTGGAACAATGCAGGTATTTACGATTGTGTATGCCATCGGTGATAGTATCGCTGGTGACATAACTATCAGTGAGATGACCATAAATTGAAGAAGTAGCGTACCGAAATCAGTGAGCAGTATGAAAGTAGTAGAAACCGACTAAGATCGTTGAAACAGGTATAAAAGCCATGATGTCATAAAAACTCACTATACCCAGAACGACAGGACTCCGAAGTAACCATAGTGCAGTCAGAGGGTTGATGAACTTGAACCGCCACCTCGAGGATGAGTGGGTAGGAGATTCAGGAATCTTATGACTGTGTCTGGTATCGAAGTGACTCGTCTCAGGAAAGAAAGCGACCATGCAAAGGAGGGCCATGGCTCCTGAAGTGCATAGACACAACTGCATGACCCGCCATGATGCGTAATGTGCAGCAAGCCCTACACCATAAACCAACTTTTCTTAGTCAAATATTGGTATGATGCTTACCACCAACGAGCGGAGCAAGTGTGGGCCCCAGCAAGATGGCCTGTCAAACACATATTAAAACGAGATCGATGAAGAATGACTGCTGAGGTACCGCAAGAAAAACGCCCATGGCTGTTCCGCGCTGCTCACGAGCATATATATCACCGATAACCCCGGCGCCGACCGTCATTGCTGGAGATGCGCCTAGGGTTTGGCAAAATCGAAAAATCATGAGGACGGGCACAGAATGTGATGCCGCCATCCCCAAGGATCCAATTGTGGATAGGCTAAGTCCGAAAAGGTAGACTGGTCGCCGGCCGTCTATGGACAATCCATGGTGATTCAGGGGACTTCACTGAACCAAAAACATACAATATGTTGAATATGATCCTCCGCATAGGCTTCCTAAACCCGCTGCGAACACAGCTAAGCTAAAGGCTAGGCTGCGAACCTGTAAGGTGCATCACAACGACCTATAATCTAGAATTCCTACACACCTTATAACTTCTGCAGAAGAGTTGAGATCGTTTGAGATTTGGGGAACGAGTGGCACAAATGAGCCTGTAATAAAAACTTGATAATTGCCAGCTTGTCATCAGCAAAGTCTCTGAAGACTAGGTAAGAAAGGCGTACGAGGCAATAAACCACACCATGACACCATTCCTAGGATGGCCAGTTTCCTCCGCGACGTGAATCGTTCATATACTCCGTCGTCTTCAATAGTCTTTGCATTGCTAGGGAGGAGGGGGGTTGATTCTGAAGCCATGCATTTCGGAGAACTGAGTGGAGCTCTTCAAGAGGCGTACTATCTTTAGAAAGTCACATGCAGAAACCCATCTTTTTCTAGGAATATATTTGTTCTTCGCTGTGTATGTGGGCCATATCGATTGTATATAGCTGGATTCGAGAATCGAAGCAAGTTCAGGAGACTGGAAAACCTGATCGACTTTGGAGTGGCATAATTCTGTGATCTTCACGATCACATCCATCCATTGTATCAATCGTTTCGTAGTGAGATGAACAAAGTCATGATGGGTCGCCAAAGATCGGATTGCTAAGTTTGGCGATCGACGTGAAGTGGCAGATGTCAAGAACGTTTCGTCTGATTATCACTGTGATGCGAGCCGAGGCGGTTTCAGAGGGCTTTTATCAATCACGAACGCACTCGCCCAGCTTCCCAGCACCGATCGCAAGCTCGACGAGGCATTCGAGGAGCGCACCGAGATAGAAGTTTCACATTACAGTTCATCGCAGACATTTCCTCGACAGGTTGTTCGATATACAATTCCAAAGTACAATGAAATTGATTGTACATTGGAACGATCCAGCACACAGCCATGAAGACACCACTGTCCTCCCCTAACAATCTTCCCAAGTTGTCGAGTTCCAATGAACTGATCATTGAAGGGAAGACATCGGCGTCGACATTAGTGACAGTGAGCCAGCCCCTGTCAGTGTCGAGTTCGAACGACCTCTTCAACTTGTTATCGAACCCCTCAACGCTATTTTCGAGCATGTTAGATGCGAAAGAATCACCAGGAAGTTGAAACAGAATATCCTCAACCTACCTGTTCGATGATAGCGCGTTCTTAATCAGCTCAAATTGGTTTTCCCTTGAGCTTGAAAAGCTTTATCCGCGCAATTGCCTGAGCAAGCCGCGTGATAGAAGGGCTTGGTTCGAGCTTTATGTTGCGCGCCTTATCGCTTTTCCAGCGGCAATATACTTCATTCGTTGGCGAGGGAAGGTATTGACACTCAGCAAACACCTCAAGCTGCTTGACGAAACCATAATTGGGGTGTATCTCTGCCCGCCCTGTTCACATGTCAGCACACTGATATCATCATTTCAGAGGTTCAAGATATATTTACTTTCTTTAATAAATTTGATCGCTGCGGACCTGCTCAGCTTTCTGGTTTTCATTACTAGGAGGAATCATCAGAAATGAAAATGTGACATGGCGGCGTAGAGTAGAAATAGATGCTGATGCATATGGATGTGCGTGCTTACAATAGGCAGCGACCACCGTCGCACTGCGTGATATACCCATGACACAATGTACCAGCACTTTGCCTCCTTTTCTAAGGGCGGTCTCTATGAATTCGCAGGCGACAGGCAGGTAAATGAGAATATTTTCGTATATGGTGTCCTCAACCTCGATCGTTAGGTGGTTTGCGCCAGTCGATGGGAAGTCTGGGCATACGGACAGGATATGTGTTATTCCTAACTTTTTCACTGTTTCGGCGGATAATGCAGATTCAAGACTAGGAGGTTAATCAGGATCAGGGTCCAATTCAAGTCGAGTTAGATCTTAAGCACGACTCACTTGCCAAGGTAAACCTGACCTGGAACAATCTCGTCGACGCTGGGGATGGAGAAAGTCATGATGGAAAGAAAGACAGAAGCTTTAAGATGAAAAGAAAGTGTGTGTCAAAATCAAGTCAATTGAGGAGTGAGGAAACGGTATTTGGGCAGGCTCCTAAAACCAGCCGTTCGTACCGCTCGTATTGGGCGAGTCATGTGGGCGATGAAATCTTTTATCTTAATAACATAATCAGATCTTATCATGTCTATCAATAACCAAACAAATAAAAGTTGTCCCAAAACTCGCGGTAGAACGTTTTGGCCAAGTTTTGTTTGTTTGTTTCACTTCGGTTATCAAATCTCTTTCCAAACATATACTAACAGAACATTTCACGTTGCTTGAACTCGCCAATACAAGCGGTACGAACGGCTGGTCTTAGGAGCTGGTATTTGGGTAGTTACCACAGAGGCTGTGAAAGTTACACCGGCCCGGTCGAAAAGCCATCATCATCATGATTGAAATATTGATTGATGGCTTGCCACGTGTGACGTGTGGGCCAAAGTTGAGAAGCGGTTTCTGTGAGTCTGCAGGTGCGTTGCAGTACTTAAGGTAACATATATATATATTCTACCACAATAACATTATCCTCTGTTCTAAAGTCCCTAAAAAATCCTTGACAGGATGAATTGGCACTGTAAA